AGTGCCTGAACAATTGTAAAGGTATAGGTGGTGTGCCACGCCTGTCAATAGACTATTCTAGCATTGCTAAAAGATTAATCAGTTCAGGCACTAAGTGCCTGAAATGCACCACACATAGCCTTATAAAGGGTAACCAGGCTAACCCCCTTATAATTACCTAACTAACGTTAAGCTATACTATCTTTATTAATAGTTTAGCTATCTATTAATTTACTAGCTATATAAGATTTTTTATAAAGCTAGCTATAAGGTTAGAATAAAGGTAATTAAACACTTAATAAAGTACTATTAGTACTACTAAATTTATAGTAAGGCACCTTTTTATTTTTAATTTACTTTATATAATAACTACTCTTTTAATTATAAAATTATTATTAATATAATATACCTTAATAGTAACCTTATACTTTATATAGTTAATACTACTACTACCTTTAATATAGCCTGTTTTTTTTATAATATTTTAGTAAAAACTATATAGGAGGCACTTTATTACTACTAGATTAACATCTACTAAGGTCCTCTAGATTAGGTTATTACTAATATAGGCTAGAACTTTATCTTAACTAAATTTTTATATAAAGCCTATATAATAGGCGTTAAGGTTAAGATTATACCTATTAAAGCCTATTATAGTGTTAAGAAGGTTAAGAGATACTATACTATACTTTAATAGATATATAAAATAATCTATAAGAAGTACCTATTTATTAACTATAAATTTACACTTTAGAGCGTAGCTAAAGTAATTAATAATACTACTAGCCTAAATAGCCTAATACCTACCTTACTAGTATTTAGCACTTACCCTTATATAACTACTAACTTTACCTTTTTACTTAAAATAATCTAATATATAACTACTATTTAAAAAGTAACTAAGAATCTTTATAAATATAATATAGTATAATAGATTAATAAGGCTTTTACTACTTATAATAGTCTAGATACCTCTATAATAAAGGATTTACCTTTAGGTAGTAATATTTATATCTAGTATAAGAAAAAAGGTTAGTCTAGCCTATATAAGTTACTTACTACTTAAAGAGAAGACTTTACTATTAATATTAATAGCCCTTATGTTTTCTAATTTATATTAGTTAAGCTATACTATATAGTAAATAATAAAGAAAAAGGCTTAGCTAAGTAACGCCCTTAATTTATCCTAAATAATAATAGTAGTTATAGTAATAAGCCTACTAAAGATATTATTATTATTATAACTAGTTTAAGGTAGTAGCTACACACTAATAATCCTACTATTATGTAACCTTAATAAGCTAGAAAAGTCCTTATAAAATACACTTTACTATAAGAGACTAACGTACTTTATACTACCTTCCTCTTAGTAAAAGAAGAAGCCTATTAAACCCTTATAATCTAACTATATAAAAAAGGCGTTATTATAGCACTTAGTAAGCTATTTAAGTAATTAGTAACTACTAAGATTAATAGCTTTATTATATAAGGCGTCTTTAAATTTACTATAATTAACTAACTTTAACTTTATAAGTAAATTTTTAAATTATAAATTATAAATAAAGTAAAAGGCACTAATAAGAAGCCTTATAAGAAATTATAACTAGTTATTTAAAGCTATACTAATAATAGTAAAAAGGCTATTTTTACTTAGTTACTTACTATTTAGTAGGCTAGCTAGTAGCTTATTCTTATACTAGCCTCTTCTCTTCTTACTAATAGTAAAGTTATATAGCTATATAATATTATATAGGCCTATATCTAATTTACTTTTTACCTTAACTATACTATTTATACTAAACTCTTAGCCTAAATCTATTATAAATACCTTAATAATACTATTATAAAGGTTATTAAGCCTTTATATAGGATTACTAAGGTAGGTATATACTAGTAGGCTACTTATAACTATTATTATAAGGAGAATCTTTAAATAGTCTTTATTATATATAACCCCTACTTTCTCTTATTATTTAGTAAAAATCTATACTTTATACTTATTAGTATATAAATAGATAATACTATTAGCTTAATAAACCTTTTATTTTCTAACTAAAAGAATAAAGAACTAACTAAAGTAAAATTTACTATAAAAGATAAGTTATTTCTTACTATTAACTAACTACTTACTTTTAATAGTAAGATTATTATAGTTATATTTATTATAAACACTTTTATTATACTTTACTAAAAAAAGTAAAAAGTAAAGCTATAATTAATTAATATAAAGTTACTTATAGCCTACTAAGATTTTATTTAGTAATAGGTATAAAAAGTATATATTACCTTTATTTACTAGCCTAAAGCGTACTATAATTTTTTTATTATAGCTTAATATAAAAAGCTAAATAATAAGGTAATTAAAGACCTTAACTATTAACTATAATAGTAAATAAGCTTACTTAACTATAGTTTATAATTTATTCCTTTAGATTTTATATTAGCTAAGCTATTTATATTTATAAATAAATTATTTACTAATAATTATAATATAACTTTATAGTTAGGATTTATTATCCTTTTTATAAATAAAAAAGTTAATAATAACTAAGCTAAGTTTTCTCTTTATAGTAACGTTTTTTATTTTTTATCTATAAAGTCTAAATAAGTTACCTAAAGCGTCCTTATATTTAAAGTGTATAAAATAGTTATAGGTATTAATATAGCTTATACCCTCTTTATAACTATTATAATAATTATAAAGAAGCTTAATATCTTATTAATCTTAACTATTATATATATAGACTTATATTTACTTTATAAATACCTAGTTAAGCTAGAAACTATAAAAAAGAAGTGTTTTATAATTAATATTATATTACTAAAATAGTCTTATAAGTAATATAAGCTTTATAAAGTCTAATAGATTACTAGATCTAATAATTTAGCTAATAGATTTATAAAGGTATCCTTAAATTAAGTACTTAAGGGCCTAGTTATAAATAATAAAGCTAAGATATATATAAAAGGTTAGGTTATATAAGCATAATAGATTATAATAAGTATATAGTAAAAAATAAATTATAAGTTATATAACTAACTAAACTATAATAGTAATAGTTAAATCTAACTAATATAAAAATATACCTTTAATAGCTATAGCTAAAAAGAAATACCTTTAAATAAGTTAGTATAAGCCTATACTATCTATAAAGAAAAATAAAAAATATAAAAATATATAGTATATAACTATAAGAAGTATAATACTTTTAGAATTTTAATTTTTATTACGTTTTTAGGCCTTTTAAAGGTAATCTAGATAGCTAGGGCACTAGTAACTTTTACTATAAAAGAAAAGTTATTAGTATTAGTATATAGTAGGTATACTTTAGGGGAAGTAGTTATATAATATTTATATAACATACTACCTCCTATAGTAGTATCTACCTTACTACTAGTATACTACCAAAAAGTCTGGATTTACTTTATAACTAACTAATATAATAAGTAACTACTATATTCTGTATCATAATTTATTACGTGATCTATAGGATATCCCTCTTAGTGATTAACTAACAGTTACATAGTCCTGACGCCTCATTGGGTGGGCCTGTTTCCGGAAAAGCAAACCAATCATGTCCCCCTCCTTTCCAGAACGGCCACAACCACACCCACAACCACAACCACAACCACAACCACAACCACCCCCCCCCCCTCCAACCCACCCAGGATCAGACAGACAGATGCAATAGGCAATAAGCAAGTCCGACAACATGCTATATACCTCGGAGAAAGTGACGACAAGACAAACAGCACCAACACCAGCCCCCCCCAAAAAAAGCAATCAACTTCCCACACTTGCTGAGTGGGGTCGCGATCCCCTCGCCCCCGAATAGGCAGTCGAATCATCCGTCCCCCCCTGCCCCCCTTGTTCCTCCCTGCACCCGCCCGCCGCACCGAGTAGTTCCCGCATCCTGTATCTCGGACTCGGAGTACGCTCCGATCTCACCTTCCCACCCGTGTGTCGGGCCAAAAATATGAAAACTGAGAACACAAATAACCCAACGCCGCGCACAACACACAAACACACCGCACACACACACACACACACACACACACACACACACACACACACACACACACACACACACGCGCGCGCGCGCGCGCAGGGTATCCTTCATCTATGTGGATTCATTCTATCCGTACATGGTACCCGTACCGCACCGCACTCAGCTCGCATTCTCGCACGCCCATACAAAAGTGCTACTACCACACCCTCACACCCTCACACACACGCAAGTTCCGTAATCCACACCCACCCACCGCAGTGGTAGGTAGCCCAGCCCGCCCAGACACAAATCGAGGAAAGATTCACGAATCGAGCCAAGTTTCGGATCATGGAAAAAGAAAGGGAGCCGCCGCTCGTGCCATTCTCCTTCGGACAACGCTGATTCCCCTCGCCCAGACGGTGGAGATGCTTCTCAAAGTTGGACAAGGAAAAGAAAAGAAAAAAACATCCTTTCCGATCCTCCCTTCGCCCATCTAATGTGAGTTATGATACGCATGATGAAGAATGACCAACCCAAGCCAAATGGTGCCATGCAGAAAAGCAAGCCACACCACACCGCCCGTTGTTTACCTTCGTGTCCATGCGGGATATCTTCAACTGCTCCAGAATTAATTTTGATAATCGATCCGTGGTACCCCCGCAACCTCCCCTGCAACGAGGGGTATGTGAGAGAAAAAAAGATACCCTTCCCCCTCCCCTCCATAATAAAAACATCTCTCTATACACGCTACCCGAGATGCTCCCATGCAAAATGCAACAGGATCGGCCGCAGAAAATGAAAAAGAAAACAACCCCGAGGTACTACGCCAAACTCCGTGATGAGAGCCGCCCAACCTAAATGCGTTGTGTGACCTGTCAGATGCTGTCGACCCCTCCTTGCGCCGTGCCAATGCAGTTCATCATCTGTAGCTGGTCGTCGGCCCGTTAGGCCGACATTTGCCGACCTAGGTCGGCAGGCTGTTGCTAAGTGTCTCGGGCGTATCCCATGTGGATCGCCCCGACGGGATACCGATCAGGAGCTGTGCAGTGCCCTGAACCCGGTTGCTATCAGACTCCGTGAGCTGTCCTTCGCGTCCGCTGGCCCGCTCCAGTAGAATAGCCCCTGGCGAAATTGTCAGCAGTGCCACCACTCCACGCATGCTGCCGGAAACATACTCCCAAGCTCTTTTGTTTGCAGAACGCCGCCTTCATCTTCACCGTGTCGGGGTTGTCGTACGTCACGAAGCCGCCGTCCGCGCCGACACACTGAGCTGCGATGGATTTCTTGTCCACAATCTCCTTCGTTCCGCGGCGTGGCAGCTGGTTGTACTCGAAAGTGCCGTTGCTCCCGCCCGCCCCCTTGAACTTCTGGCCTGGTCCGGTGGCATGCAGGAAGCTGCGGCCGTACAAGGGGATGCCGAGAAGGATCTTTTGCGAGGGAAAGCCCTGTGAAACCAGATATTGGACTCCCGAGGCACCCGAATTTTCGTCCTTGCTCATCGCGTACAGTTGCGCGTGATGGCCGCTTCTGTGTGTCCATGTGCCGGCAAAGTCGTACGCCATCAGGTTGAGGTAGTCGAGATAATCGGCCGTCCGATGTAGGTCAATGTACTGCAGGACTGCTCTCGCGGCGGGAAGCGCAGCGGTGAGAAGGTAATGGCTCTCCGGCATATGTAGGCGAACCGCAGCAAGAAGGGCAAGAAAATGGTGACCTTGTTCGGAGTCACACGGATACTCCCACATGACTGGCCCAGAGACGTCAGAAGTTCATTCACTACTGCAAGATGGCAAACTTACTGTCGATCCCGTCGAGGCCCGACGCATCCACAAGACCCCTCGCAGACCTGGCAAAGTTGTCTCTATACAACGTGTTGGCAGCCACCGAGGGGAAGATGGCGCTTGAGCTACCGCCGCCGATGGAGAGGACGACCTGCAAGTGTGGGTGCTTCTGCTTCAAATGCATAAGGGAACCAAGGCCACCTTGGACGCCGTCAACCGGTGCGCGGGCATCCGCCCACTCATCGCTCAGCTAAAACATCATCTGGTCAGTCGGCGTATCTGCTGTTATGGTTGAAAAGGCTCACAAAGACCCCGCCGTCGGCCGAAATGTTTGCAAAGGCGTAATATACATGATTGATGCAGCCATAGTTCATGGCGGCGGGCGTATCGCCCTGATATATGCGTTCGTTGGGGAAGTAGACAGCGTTGGTGTACATGACGTTAGAGATGCTAGTCGTTCTGCGCGACTTGCGCGAGGACGACGTCGACGTCGACGACGACGACGACGACGACGATGACAAACTCATCCTGAATTTGGTTGCCATGGAATAGCCAGAAGCAGACGAGATTTGAAATGAGATGGCAAAAAAGAGGAGTAAACTCGTAGAGTCAAAGCCGGAAGGGGAACGTGGTAAGGACAGTCGGTATATGAAGGGAAGGACTTAGACCCAAGGCTGCATGTTTAAGCAATGAGCTGGGCCGTCCGTTCGGGCAGCAAGCGCGAACCTCTGTGGCCCCATCAGCGTGGAGGGGTGAATGGCCTATATAACTAGCTAGGCACCACAGCGCGGGACTGACAAGGAGATGCTACGGCGAGGGAACGTATTAGCAGGAAGCCTTGCCCGAGGCGGTGGGGACAACGGGGTATCAAAATTACAAGAGGGCCCAGGATACTTTGAAGCCACCATGCATGACATAATTGGAATGGGGGTGGAATATGGATCATGGGGGTGTGAGGACGGTACTTTGATGCAGCCTGCGCTTGCAGGGGTGGGGAGGTGGATGGATGAATGCTGGTGAGACTTTCTGTCAAGTCGTACACTTTACCTATATGAGGGTCTTGGACGCACGAGGAGCCCCGAGTCACCACCTTCGAGAAGAGAAGAAGACGAGATGAGAGAGTGGAAGAGAGGTGACGAGGGCTGCAATGCGAGAGATTGCAAGGCATCGTAGTCGGGCGCGGCCGCCTTACTGCGCTACTATGGCGCCACTGCTTTGACTATCTTCCTGATTCTCTTGTCTGAGTTGTTAGGCGGGCGCGAGTCTGTCCTCATAGCTTGAAGGGCCGTTGGCTACGGCCACAGCAAACCCTGCTTGGCGGCAGTTGACGATCAGGGTTGCAGGGGTGGGGGGACAGCAGTGACCCATGTGCACCGCACCGCTACTTTCGCTCCTACCCTCCCTCCTCTTTTGTTTGTCCACTTCTTCTGCATCCTGCAGCCGCTTTCTACACGCCCGCCCGGCCGTGCGTGTAGGTCTTAGCTGTAAAGCATCAAGGGCAGCCGGTGGCGTTTCAAAAGCTTACTGGCTACCGCCGCCCGTGCCTGTGCCTTCTGTGTTGTTGTTCCTAAACATGGTGATAGATAGCCGCATTCCTCCCACGCCTTCTCCTGCCCGACCAATGCAAGCGTGGCGTGGGGACCCGTGGCAGCGGAGACGGCTATCCTGGCGCTGCCGTATCTTGCAAGGGGGATCCAACACGTACAGTGCTCGTTTTTTCTGGCGATCACAGGCCGGGCAGATATGTCCGTCGCAAGAGAGAAGATGTGTTTGTTCGCTGGTCGTCGGGGCAGACACACTTCATCTACGAGATGAGGCGACGAGGGGCTGTCAGTTTCGATTCCTGAATGAAATTACCAGGGCTCGAGACATATTCTCTCCCCCCCCTTTCCAAATACAGTCCTCGTCTCGACACGGGCTAGTCTCGGCCACAAGTTGAGCCTGAGATGAAGAATGTTGATGAGCAGAACTCGGCATGTTGATTTTTGAGACCGGTTGAATTGGGGCCGTGCTTGGGCCTGAGGAGGGTGTGGTAGAGTAGGTAGTTGGAAGTTGCCATTCCAGGGCCCCATCGTCCCGGGTTAGCACGCACCGACCCGGAGTGAGAAAAGAAAGCCTATCTGGAGAATCGACGAGGCGGTCCCATGCTAAATGAGACAACACGCTGCGAAAGGGCCAGGTGGTGAACACTGCCTGGAGCAGTGCACCAACTTTAAAGCAACATGTCGCTTCTCTCAGCCAAGTAGGTAAGCTGTTTGCTGCTCCTACATTGCTCGGAATGTGTGACATGCACCCAACGATACTTCCGACGACTGGCGTCTGCCATCCGTTCGCAATCCCGTAATCTTGTGGGGACTACCTCAGCTATCGTTCAGCGATTTGCCGGTTCAACGGGACGACGAGGAAGGAATCTTAAGCTGGGCAATTATAGACAGTGCCCATCACACTGACGTGCAAAGAGTGGACCAACTGGCGGGTTGGTATGCACTGAAACCTTGGGCGGTAAACTAGCACGGCGGTGTCTGGCGCTCTGGAAGTGGGGAGATCCCAGCTCACGCACCGAGAAACCGGGGTGGGCCAGTGAATCACACACGGACACGCAATGAAAATCGACACCAGGCGGTGAGGTTCGACGCGAGGCGAATCGGCCTGGGCAAACATCATGGGTTTCCGAGCACCATCGAGACACCGTGACATGGCGAGCAGAAATAGTCGTCTCGGTGTTGGCCCTTTTGAACAATGCTGCCGGTACAAAGTGCATGAGACCCAATGGTAGGGGAATGCAAGTCGAGGGGGCACAGGGCACCACCTACTTGGCTGCATACAGTATGCGTGCCCCGCCAAAGGATGGAAACAGCCGACGGAGTCGATGGGTTGAGGTGGAGGACAGGTGCAGACGGCTGCATGCCACGCTGGCAGCACATGACCGTCGTACATTGGAAACGGCCCTGGGATCTGGAAGAATCCGACGACCTGGACGGATGAGGTCATTGCGCAAGGAAAGATCGAGTTGGTATCGACAAAAGACTGCATTGCATGGTGTAATGGGCCTGGTCCCATCTTGGGCAAGGCTCATTGTTGTCTTGTTTGCTCATTGAGGACGCAAATGGCAGCCAACAAAGGGCGCGGGTTGACTTTTGGAGACACGCATGGCGGTGGATGTCGGCTTCTGCCATGTCCTTGGTCTGGTGTGGTCTCGGCGGAGCCGTCTTGGTCGTAGCGGTCCCACGAGACAGGAGAAGTATATCCATCCACGAATGCCCTTACCCACCCAAGCAGGTCGATCATCTTTTCCGAATGTTGGTATATCGTTAATCCGTGTCGCGGCTGCATGTTGTATCCGTGTGCGTACCATATGTGAGTGCGACAGCACCCCCTGGTATTCCCATATGGTCTAGCCTCCGCATACAAAGATATGCGGGCAAACTCGGTATGTAAGTCAGTCGCAGTAGTCGAATCCCATCCATTGGGTTTGGAAGACTGCCCAGCTGGGTGTTAAGATGTTAGCAAAGTCTAGTCGAGGTCGACAAGCACCGCCGTGCATCATGGTTACCTCTGCACGTCGGTAAGTGATGCATGCCATTAGGCTCGACACCAAGAGAGGGTCGAGCGGCCCGGGTATCGGGAACGGCTTGAGCTGGCGGCGGCCTAAGCTACTGATTTTGGGCAGAGGCAGGAAGGTGAAAGAAACACGCTAGAACCGCCATAACGTAGGACCGAAATTAGCAGGAGAAATTGGCCAGCCGTTGTGGTTCGCGTTTAATGAGAGGCGCGAGACGGACTGAGAAACGATGGAGAGGAAAAGAGAAAGAGGAAAGAAAAGAGTGTCCGTCGCTGTTTTCGGCCGATAAGTACAGCGTCATGTCATTCATTTCCTGCCGTTCCAGAGGCAGGGACTTGACGTGGCGTGCCTTGAATAGATGCATGGCTTTTACTCTGGAAGGAACAGCGGAATGTCTTGCCGACATGCCGTCTCTGTCTCTGTCTCGTACCTCGGCTTGTCTCATGTTTGGGCGACGAGGGGAGGAAATTGGTGGTCGTTAGTCAGGTCGTAGCAAGCTGGCTGGCTCGGGGCAATGCTTTGCTTGCGATGCAAGAGGACAAGAGAACAATGGCAGGATTGCATTGATTGCACACTGTGTATCCGTAGGTAGGTAAAGATAAGGTAGGTAGAGGAGAAATGTACGGATAGTAGAATGGAGAAAAGGCCCCTCCTTTGCTTGCTTGTTTTGGATCCCACCGAAAGAAAGGAGGGGTTGCAGGAGCCGACGACTGGGGTCCACACCCAATGTCAGTTCAATGCAAGAGAAGGGAAAATGGAAAGAAGGAGAAAGAATGGCAAAACGTATTTCATCCGGAAAGTCTTGGCGGGCCGAGAATGAGTAGGGTACCTACCTTTTTTGGTATTTCTACTACTAGGTGGTTGAGGAAGGACCAAAAGGGTTATTTCCCACAAGAACGTGGGTCCTTCCCGACTACGCCCGAGTGCTCCTTCTCCTTCTTCTGCTTCTCCTTCTCCTTCCCCTCCTTCTCCTTCCCCTCCTCCTCCTCCTCCTCCTCCTCCCCCTCCCCCCCAAGTAGATCCTCCACTCCAACCTGACCCGCCCATATATGCATTCTCCACTTTTGACTCGGCCATGCTCTGCCATACGAGAGCTCTGTCAAGGACAGTCCTTCCAATCGACCCACCCTACCCGAAGACTCAACTTAGATATACAATGTATATCATTGGGGTTTTTTTTGGGGGGGGGGGGGGGGGGGTCAAGACTCAAGTCTTCTACTATGTGACTATGCCTTTGGCAACGAAACACATTTGGCGAACGGCCATAGCTAGACCTCAAGGCATACCAGCATGCCCTTCTCAGGTGCTCCAGGATGCCTGCCTGCCTGCCCTCGACACCATTCATTATCGTAGTCAAGTACGGATACTGTTGCAAACCAGCTGAGACTTGATCGAGTCGCAACTCTCGCCCAGTTACATGTGTTGCAGACCTCATCCTTCGGTCTCTTCGCCTGCTTTTGCTTGCACCCGCCACCCAGCAGCCGGATCCCAATGCTACATGTACTTCGACAGTGTAGAATGCCGTCAATGCCGGTTGAGGATTCGTTATATCTAGTGTAGCACTCGCCAACGGATTACCCTGACAAATTCGTGGATTTCTAGCCCATAGCCGGGCACCCATGCATATACCCCGCCGTCTATCTGTATTGCCTTGAACCATCTGCGAGAGAAGGACGTGGGTCTCGGAGGTACCCCGAACCGCCAGCATGGAGCACTAGTAGTAGTCTACTAGCCGTTTGGAGATAATCCTTAGAGGATACTCGGCATCGGAACAGACTAGTGAGCAGTCCTCGAAGTTGACCATGTCTGCTTCTCGTGCTGACACCAGAAGCTAGGCATCAAGGCATACGAAGGTTACTTCAGCTCAAGCAAGCCGATACTGCCTGAAAACCAAGTAAAACTTGGAAAAGAAGTGGCCAAGCCACCGTAGTACGCACCCATGTCTCCCATGCAACTGGATGCAGCCCCCTCCCCCCCAATCTC